AGGTTGCTGTGCATGCTGAGATCTGTCTCGTTCCTGAGAGGACACTACGGCGGTGAAGTCATCATTGTCCAGTTCGGCATACTCGTATAGACTCTCTCCAGCTCGTTCCCATAGACAATGGATTTCATAGCCCTACAGTCTCATTAGGTGGAAGAAACGTGAAAAGGGGCTACGTACCGTTCTGTATTCTGCCTTTGGCTTGACGACAAAGTCCCGCAAAGCACATCGTGAGGTCCGGGAACTTGCATCTTTTTCTGCAAGCTTGACCAATGAATGGCCAGTGAACTTGTATAGAACAAAGAAGCCGGCGGATGGTGGCTCTGGATACTGAGATGGCCCAGTGAATATACCATGTGGAGTGGGCATAAAGACAATAAGACGTAAACAATCGGTAGACATTGTGTTTTGGGTAAAGAAGCTGCGTATCAGCGTTCTTCTCTCCAAGGGAAGCGGCTGTATAGCTGGTGCACTTGATTGATGCAACGGCTGGAGTGACGACGCACGAATCAGCGATCCGCCTCTTGCCTTGTTGGCAATACCCTCCATTGTGGCAGATGCTGACTGTGGAAGAGGTGGGATGGCATGCGTGACGAAGTTTCCATTGGTACTATCCCATATTCGGAGGGACCGATCTCGGGAAAGTGTAAACGTTAGATCCTTTCTTGAAGCATTGCTATCTGTTTGAGCTAGTTGCGCACAGTGGACAGATATGATATTGTCTTCTTCCGGATTCGTCGTGCGAAACATTTTTGAAAGGAGGCCTTGATGCTGTGGATAATGTAGCTTGTCCTTCATTTGAATATCAGCATCCCCCTCTATATCCAGTCGCAGTATTGCTCCTGCATTCACTGTGATAGTCAAGGATCTTTCGCCTTGCAAAAGCATGGTTGCATTATCCTCTGAGAGCGGGCGGCTCACAGTAGAGGGAAGCGTAAATTCACGGAGCCAGCCCTTTTTTGCGATCCACTGCTCGTCATGGAAAAAGGGTGCAATGAGCGGGAAAGACAGTCGATAAAGCGTTCCCCCTTTGAGTAGAACATACACAAATGCCAATTGCCCGACGTTGCTGCTGGAAAGGGCCGCTTTGTTGCGAGCAACTTGGAGGCTAGTACGAGTAGAGGTAGGTACAGCAACTCCTGGCATTGGCACAATAGGTTCCGCAAATTCCCAACATATGGGTGACCCTTCAGCCCACTCGAGAAGCGTCAGCTCTAGCACAAATCCGGAGTGCGTTAATCGAAGCAGTGCATCTCCAAGTTGCGGTAAATTTACGATTGTAGCATGAAGCGCATGGTCTTCTAAACTTTGTAGTTGTCCTGAGGCAGATTCTGATGCTGCGTTCGCTTTTGAATTACGTTGTAGACGGTCCAGAAGTGTTTTAGACGCGTGGTTTGATGGATGTTGTTGATGTGACGAGGAACTGTGCGACTTTGAAGGTGGCACAGAGTAGAAGGATGGATGCTTGAAGGCACTGGAGATATGTGAGCTGACGATAGCGTGTCTTCCTTGATTATACATCGTGGCGTAAACTTTTCACAGCTAGAATGGGAGCCGTGTCTCAATGCCAAAGAGTTGGGTTCAACACATATGGAACAAAGCAACCCAACACTGAACCGAACGTCGTTCTCGCCCACGTTTAAACTCATAAGATACCAATGACCTTGTAACAGCTGTAGGTCTTCATATTGTAAAATTACAACTACTCTGTACAGAGAGCTAACCGACATCTTGACTTCACTATATTCAGCGACCTAAAAGGACACTGGACATTGAATGGTTCTGACGGTACACCGTATCGTCACTTTGGCGATAATCTCCGTGATTATTGTCTCTATAGTCAAGTTTGAGCGTTCTCGCCTTGCTACAAGTCAGATTCGAATCCAAGATCTGAAGAGAAAGAAGCTCTATGTCAGTGACCTCAACCAGCTTCTCTCGTCCATTCTATTCGACCAATCCCTTCCTAGTCTATATTCTCTTCATGATTTCGATTTTGACCAAACGATTCCTGATATATCTGGGAATTGGACAATCAAGCATGGTACTGGCTCAAGCTTCGAATATATGAGGAGCATGTGCTTAGGGACCACAAGCCCCTCACGGTCTAATGGGAATCTAGATGCCAAGTGGGTCAGATTTCAGGATTCAAATCTACCCTGGATTGTCTCTCGTTGTAATCGGCATACTGGCGCCTTGAAAACGGGGGACGGCTCTCTCACCGGCGAATCAAGCGACGTTTCCTGGTCATATGCCTTGTCATATCTATCTCGTATTCCACTTCCTCTCCGTAAACATGTCAGAGTGATCATGGTCGCTCCTGTTTCGTGGTCCCCACTGTTCAAACGGACGCATGGAACTCGTATAAATCACTCGAGTATGCCTATTAGCGAGTCTACCACGCACGCGATAGAGCCTCATGGTCTACTCTCGCATGACGCTGCAATCTTCTTTGGAGAGCCCAGCTTCGGAACTTGGATCCATGAATTCTCGCACGCCGTGGACCTACATGCAGGACATTTTAGTTCATCTAGTAAATGGTTGGAGGCAATTGAAAAAGATGAGTGTATAGCAGATGAATATGCCTCGAGTAGTCCCGAAGAGGTGAGTAGACACACTGCTATTGGGATCACAGCGAAGTCTGAATGACTTCTTTCACTGCAGGCTTTCGCCCAAGCTTCCATCCTTAAATTATATACTAAGCTCCAATGGAATGCTGGGGATTCTATTGGTGATCAACAAAAGCCACCGATCTATTATCCCGGTAGACCTATTGGTGGCCCTCTAAACACTGGTTTTCTGATC